GTTTTTTAGTTTTAATTTTATGATTTGTTTTTTGTACGAGTCTCTTGAGTGTGAGTCTTTCTGACAAAAAGGCTAATACCAAATTCATCAAAAGTTTATTTTTGAGAATATACAAGTGTCTCTCTATGTACTAACTAGAACATGAACATTTTGTTTCAGATTGAATTGCATTAGGTGTTTGTTGAATGAATGTGGAGTGATGCCTTTGGTTGAAATAATTGTGTTTCCACTTCTGTTGCTAGTTCTTGATATAGCCAGTTCTTTTCTGAGTACTTTTTTATTACATTTTAGGCAGATGAATATCTATTAGGCAAGCAATATTTTCTCTTCTATCCCAAAACGATACAGCAGGTATGTTGTGCATAACAGTTTTGTCTGTGTGAGATCTAGTATAATTTCAAATTTTCATTTTCTTATATTGTTTGTGGCGTATGCATATAACTTGGTTGTATGTCCTTATTAATTGGCGTTTTAAGGTTATTACTCGATTTATAATTTTGAACAGTGTTTACTCAACACTTTCTAATAGCCTGCATCCTGATGATCGATTGTTCCGTAAGACAAGTGACATTTTTTGCATTATTATTTCTTGTATTGCAACAATAATGTCGTCTTCAAGGTATTGTTTTGGAAAACAAGTGACATTTTCTGCATTTATCACTTCTAATTGTATAATCTTTTAGAATGTTTTTTATGGATATTTTCCTTTTCCGAGGAACTTGCATGTTTGTTCTTTGTTCATCTATTCTTCTTCATTTTTTCTTTCTATTTAATGCTATTCTTTCCCACATGAGTTGGGACGTTTATTTTCTTAGGTACTCCTATGTTCTAGTCAATTTGTTCATATTGTCCAATTCTGCTTTGAACCATTTTATTACATCAAATGAGTACTTAATGACGTGGACAGCAAGTGTGTTAAAGGTTTAAACGGGTTTTTGCAATTAACTTTCAACTTCAGTAGGGCACTATCCCTTTTTGTAATGCTGCTACAAATCTCGCTTTTTTTATATGATCCAGTTTAATGTTTCGATTAAATCTTTGATATATATGTAATTTGTGTTTTTCTATTGGTGCGGTATCTCTTGTTTGTTCATGATTTCATTACAGAAAACGATTAACAAAAAAAAACAACTTTGAGATTATTAGTTCTGTTTATATTGAGTTTTCTAATACGTGTCATAGGTATTTGTATTTCTGTGATCTACATACTAAAAACAAAATTACTTGTTCCATTTGGTATTTCAATCCTTCTAAGTGGCTAATGGAAAATATGTTACTTAGTTATATCATTAATGTTTTGAATGATTAATGGAGTTAACAAAATAAAAACAAAATACTTTTTACTTTTTTCAAACTTTAGAGTAGCAAGGCTATTCCGATATATGTAATAATATTGCGTTTCTCTTGCCACTAACGTGTTACTCGATACATTTGTGTTCTTTTTTCCTCCCTCAGTTTCATATACTTAATACGTAAATAAAGTAAACAGAATGATGAATGATCGCGATCACATTAAGTTGTCGATGTGTAAGAAAATTACATTTCGCAGTGGGAACGTCGTATCTTATAAATTTGCGTGGGTCGACCTTAAGTACGTACCTAGGTTTTTTATGAAGACAAAAAACATATGTGTCATTGAGCATATATCGTGTCCTAAATTCGACATATCGCTATTGGTAGCTTAGTTACTGTAATACAGAGAAAGAGGTGCGTGCAAATTGTAGGAGCTTTGCAAAGGTGATTGTTTCCAAATTACCTATTTTGTCTAATACACAAAAGATAAATGTTAATGGGTTGTGAAAATTACGTGTACTTTTACGAAATGACTGATACATTCAATTTGTTCTTGTTTCTTTTACGCATATTGCAGAAAACTCAATTAAATTAAACTTTAAAAAATATATAAAAATTTTGACCTTAAAATAAATTTTGTTAAATTACATAGACATGCTAAAAACGTATTTTGAACTGAAATAAGCAAATTCGTGTCCCAATTGGGCATGATCAGCATGAGTGACTCTGAATTGATCAACAGTTACCAATATTATATAGCGAATTTGGAAACACGTTTTTAAAGTCTTCCTAATTTAAGACCATAAAAAAATATATTAAAAAGTTACACAATTGTAGTGCTGTAATTATTTGTACAGAAAATAATAATTTATATAGAAAATACGGCTAATTAAAATTATAGGATATATTATTATATAATACCTAATTACTCTTAAATCAAAGTTTCATGGATTTTCTACAAAAATTTCTATCTATTATTTACAAATTTTCTAGAAATTGTGTTGGGTCACTGAAAAAAAGGCTGCAACTCATTTATCACACATACAAACTTTATTAAAACAATTATTATATTAATTATACAAAAGCAACACGCATAAGTATAGGAAGCAAATAGGACGATCGCGAAATAATATACAAACGAATTTAGAAGACATTGTTAGAAATGATTGCAGATACATTTATTTTAAATTGTTCTGTTCAATACACAACCAGGACTGGTAACGATAACTATCCTTAATGCATCTGCGCATATGATAGAACTAATCTAATATAATAAAGGAGTAAAAGCATCTTACATCATATTCCCTTGGCGTTTTGGAGCCCCACGTTGGGCGCCATGTTACCTCTCAAATGGGGGGAACCAGCATTTTTACCAAGCTCCTGGTGTACTGGGGTTCTGGAGGTTCTTGTCTCCTACAAAGAGACAAACAGGATGTTCGGACACCTCCCTCGTCACGACAATCCCATGTTTATGTCACTGCCTTCTAGGCTTGCTTAGCACTGTTTTTGAGATGTCCTGTGAGTACCTGGAGCTTGTGCCCGGCCGCGGTACTTTGGTTGCGATTTGCTCTGCGGTTGAAGACAGTTTCGTGGTACGGATTGGAAAGTTGAGTGAAAATTAAAATATATTCACCTTCTACTTCAAAAAGCAGTAATGGGATAATATTATATAACTTTACATTAATAAATGTAATACATTTTTTGTGGAATTATACGGAAATATTTTTGTACATGGCTACGTCTATGTCAATTTTTTTAACAAATTGAAGGGCAACAATGATATAGCAATTTTTTTCTATTCATCTTTCCACTGTTTATATGTATGTGTTTTACTAGACTTAGTGCGGCGCGGAGTTTAACAGGACCGTAGTCAGATTATGAGTGAAAATATTAATATGTTTACAAAAAATATGTCGCAACATAGTACTATTGCCAAAGAGCAAGGCTGAGTAGAGGATAAAATACCTATATAAATTTAAATAACACCACTTACCTGATAAACCTTAGTGTTGAGATAAGGCTTCCGTGGTATAGTGGAAGGAGTTAAAACACATTACTACGTGCTTTTCAAAGTTTTCTTTAGTGAAACCGCGACGTTTATCACTTAATATTAACTTGTGTAGGGAAAATGACCGTTCAACGTCTACTGTTGACAACGGACAGTATGATAAATTGTTGAGGCATGAACTATCCTATATATTTGCTGGTAAACCCTGATATGTACCAGATAAAACTTTACATATGAAGAGCACAGAGGAAAAAGGGGAAATGTCACAAATTAGTCCAAATTGAGTTAGTGGTGCCATCTGTTAGACAATAGTTCAAATTTGATATTCAGTAAGTTTCCTGTGTAAAAATGTAGCATAATCATAAAAATAAATGGGTTCAAATATATACATACTTTGAAAAAACGGGAAATATCCATATTGGACGAACTAGAAATGTTGTACCACGTGAACAACATTTCTAGTAAATATTTGGATAATTTAAACATAGTAAACAATCATACTATTTTTATTAATAATTGCCGTCTTTTAGATCTTCTACCCATATCTGAAGAGAAATATAAAAACTTACAAGAGCTTAAACGCTTTTATCCACGACTATTGTATAATGTACCCATTATACGTCTGTTTGCTCGACCTTAATAATACCCATTAATCACGGCAGTGATTAATGAGTCATTAATCACTACTGTCAGATGCTTCCTTAATTTAGCTATAATATTATATTGTTCTGCTACAAACAATCCGTTTTTAAAATTTTATCGTGTAAACCACTAAATATTTTCAATTCAGTGCTGTACATATAAAAAAAAATTAAAAAAGTGAATTTTCCTAGACCGAATTCGAACTCGGGACCCGCGGTTGGAAGGGAAAGAGCATCTACACTGAGCCATCAGCGACTTCATTCGTGGGAGTCGTATATCTGTTTCTTAACATACCATGTTTTTCGAAACATTTCAAAAAAAATTCAACAAAAATATTTAGTAGTCGTGGATAAAGTATAGTATTCTACTCCCGTATAATGGGTATTATTCACTCGGTGATTTAGGCCACTCGCCTGCGGCTCGTGGCCGTAAACTTCATCTCGTGAATAATACCCATCATTATACGCTCGTTGAATAATATACTATTATCTACGACTATTTAATAATAGACGCATTATAATTGTGATAGTAAGTACATAATGTAACTCATATTACACACCCGTGGAATATGAGTTTCATATTCCACAGGTGTGGAATATGAATTTTTATACGTATCCCTTATAGCTTCTGACCGCGCTACAAAATAGAATCGAGCTTGCTTGAATTGTTTTTACTATGGTAACTAATGTAATTGATTTGACAACACTTCGCAAAATAAAACATTTTTGACTTTTGCAGTAATTTTGCAGTTTTTAGTTGTTAATGTAAATTGTGTTTAACCATGAATTCTGACAATGAAAATGAAATTCGATGCACCCCTCCTGAAATTCGTGAAGCCGCGAAATTAGCATCATTGGAATTACTTCCAGAGAAATCACGAAAAAATTACACAATTGTATATAACAGCTTTATGGACTGGCGACTAAAAATTGGCACAAATTCGTTTTCCGAAGATACTTTGTTGGTATATTTCAAGGAATTGACAAAAAAATATAAATCGTCTACATTGTGGAGCCATTATTCGATGCTTAAGAGCACACTTAACCTTAAACATAATATGAATATAGAATCTTACGCAAAAGTTCGAGCTTTATTAAAAAGGCAGTCAGAAGGCTACCAACCCAAGAAATCAAAGGCATTTACTGGAGATGAAATATACAAATTTATAACTGAAGCACCGGATACTAAATACCTAGCCACGAAGGTAAAAATATAAGTTAGAATTTAACTAAATAATACTAAGGTTTTTTGCTTTTTGTACTTATAGGTTGCATTAATAATGGGAGTGATGGGAGCTTGCCGCTCAAATGAGTTATATGAAATGAAAACAAAGAATCTGCAATTTTTTGAAGGTTGCATAAACATATCGGTTCCAATTACGAAGACAAAAGTTCCCAGAAATTTTACTGTTACCGGAGATTTTTATAATATCGTCAAAAAATATTCAGAGCTCAGACCATCGGATGTATCAAGTTCTTTCTTCCTAAATTTTCAAAATGGGAAATGCACAAAACAAGTTATTGGTATAAATAAATTTGGAAGAATGGGTAAAGAAATAGCAGAATTTTTGAAACTACCGGATCCAGTAAAATACACAGGACATTGCCTTCGACGATCTTCTGCCACTTTGTATGCTGATGGAGGGGCCAATATGACTGCCCTTAAACGCCATGGGGGATGGAAGTCAGCCTCTGTGGCTGAAGGTTATATTGCTGACTCTAAAAAAAATAAAATGGATGCCGCCAATAAAATTTTGCACCAAATCAATCCAAATTCTATCAGTATTTCGAATGCAAATTCATGTCCATCTACATATGCTGATGGTGTCAGCAATTTTACTATTGATAATTTTGCCATTACCAATAAGACCAGTGATGTAAATATTAATACTACGAAAACACCTCCAACCATACATTTTAATAATTGTCATAACCTTACAATTAATTTTATAAATAAATAAACTTTAGTTGCCCTAGTTACAACAATCTAATCATACGCTAATTTTAAATAATTCATTATAAAAATTTCTAATTTTAAATAAATGTTTCCCAATCTACAAATTATTATTATTTTTAAACAATATGATGAGTGAGTAGTCGTAGATAAAGTATAGTATTTGCCTCGCGTATAATGGCTATATTACACTCGCCTACGGCTCGTGTAATATAGCCTACATTATACGCTCGTTAAATAATATACTATTATCAAGCCCTAAGGGTGGTTGAATATGGAATAAAAAGGATAAAAAAGAAATTGAAATATTAGCTTCTGTTCTTCCTTTGACCTTTTAGAATAAATTTTAGAAAATTTATCTCTGGTTTCGAATACATACATATTGAATATATACAGGCTGTCTACTATAAGATGGCCACTCCTATGTATCTCGCTTAATATACGACGCACGTCAAAAATCTTTATATGTTTTTTGTTCCATTTTTTGAGGCCTTTATGCTCGTAAAACAAATTTGAGATCCATGGCCAACTTTGTGAGTAATCATAAAAAAACCGGAAAAGTACCGAAAGTTTAGGGTCGTATAACTTTTTTATTTTAAGAGATAGAGCAAACTTATTTTAAGAAAATGTCATGGCAAAATTGATATCTTTCACCTGGTATAAACAGATTTTGGAACTATCGTCTGTAAATTGCAGCGCCCTCTACGCGAGCCAAAAAAAATTGTTATCGAAGTAGGTTATATCCACAAAATAATTGCTTGTTCTTTCCTCTTTCATGCGATATACTACATGTTGCCTTTATCTTTTATATTTATCACATTTTTTATAATTTTGATATAAAAAAATATAAAAATTTTCGTGTTACTTATGTTAATGTAAAAATTTGTGTTAAACATAATAAAGAAGAATTAATAAATATAATGTACTTCTTTTAAGCAAAATACAGATTTTCTTATTACTTTATTATAGTATTGGTTTTTGCATTAGAGAGAATTAAGCCTTCAACTGTTCTTTCACAGAGAAGTAGCTTACGCTAAATCTTGCAAACTGTAAAAACAAATGTGTTACCCCTTTGACCCCAGTAATGTCATCATTTGGCAAACGGTTTATTGTCATAGTTTATACGTAACTTTTGGCTTGAAAACTGATACAGTTTATTGTTATTTGAAAAACTATAATTTTGAAGGTGTTATAAAATAAAAAATGTATGTCATTTGAGGAAGAGGAAAGCTTTAATTCTGCAAGTAGTTATATTTATTATTTTTTTATATTTGGCGTGTTTAAAACAATTTCTACATTGACATAACCTACGAAAATTTTTATATTTTTTTTTATATCAAAATTATAAAAAATTTAATAAATATAAAAGATAAAGGCGACATGTAGTATATCGCATCAAAGAGGAAAAACAAGCAATTATTTTGTGGCCATTGCCTACTTCGATGACAATTTTTTTTTGCCCGTGTAGGGGATGCAGCAATTTACATACGATAGTTCCAAAATCTGTTTATACCAGGTGAAAAATATAAATATTGCCATGAAATTTTATTAAAATAAGTTTTCTCTATCTTTTAAAATAAGAAAGTTAGAAGACCCTAAACTTTCGGCACTTTTACGGTTTTTTTTATAATATCTCACAAAGTTGGCCATGGATCTCAAATTTGTTTCTACGAGCATAAAGGGTTTTGACGTGCGTCGTATATTAAGCGAGATACATAGGAGTGGCCCTCTTATAGTAGACAGCCTGTATATTTCATACTGAATGTGATTTCATTTTACACTTTTATCTCGTACCTATTACTTTTTTAATACTAAATGGTAGATTGTAACTATATGGATCATCCTGCGGTCATCTAATTAGGCACCCTTATCAGTTAAAAAATCGGAATGTGTAAGAGCTTCAAGTTACTTAATCGTGCTCATTTCACTAATGTTTTCACATATCCCCATAAGTTTAAATCGCAGGTTAGCGAAAAATGCAAATATTTAATGACAGTTAATTCGTTAGTCGTATTCAACAAACTAAATTGCTATTATAAAATGAAAAAAATATATTTTCATACTTTTTAATTAATCTTTGTTAATAATAATATAATTAATCTCTATTGACAAGTGCTTATGATTGTTTAAAACGATATTAAAAATTTCCTTAAATTAAGTATGCAAAAATTAAATGTTGATAAAGCTGAAAAAGGCTATTGTTTTGTCTATAAAGAACGAAGTTCACAAGTCCAAATCTTTTGTTTCATGTTATCTTAGATGAAACATTTATCTTATATGTAAAAATGATATTTAGATTAATATCTAAATACATCTTTTAGATAAAAGATAAATAATATATTGTTCGTTTTACTGTCACGAGTAAATTAGATTTCTTTAAAAACATTACGTGTTCTTGGATTTGGATAATGCTCGTCTGTTTGGTGAATAGAACTATCACCAACTAATTAATTTCCATAAATATTTAAACTATTAATATCATTGCATATTAAAGTTATTTAGAAGAAAATTATTTTATCTCTTTTAAAAATGTCTTGTACAAATATCCCAATCTTATATCCTACGAATTAAGTTGAATAGTGATGGCTATACGTACTTATAGGCAAATTGCACTTAATTGAACTAAGTGACCTTAACCTTAACTTAGACTTAACGACCCCGCCCTCTCTAGTAACGTCTATGTCCTCTCGGTAAGCGGGTCATTTTAATCAATTCGTTCGTTGTGGTGAAAGTGTTCTCTGTGTATATTTCAAAGTACTGAGTGATGCGAATCTATCGATATGCACTGAAGATGAATTTTCAATTGCCATAAAAAGGAAGAGAGAAGAAATTTGATCTGGTTCGTAGATACATTTTTATATAAATATAAAAACACGCTAAACTATTTATTTTCTTCACGACTGTCGAACAATAAATACAGGTCTGGCCATATTTTTATTTCCGATACAAAGTTAGTAAATTATATAAATATTTCACCAGTCTCCCCTAATAATTCTGACTCCGCCCCCATATCATTTATGTCATCGATACAAGGGAATAAAAAACACCATAAGTGGTGTGTAAACCACTATTGGTTTATTGTCTCTGTCTTGCATTAGGAATTTGGGAACAACGTACGTCAAAAATACGTACATACGGAAGATAGAATACTGGACAATAATAACGTTTTTCTACGTCAAAAAATGACAAGGTTTGCGCATTGACAACAATATGCGAAGTGACACTTTTTTTCGGATTCTTACGTTACCATGACACCGTGCGCGAAATACTTCGTGCACTAGGGTGCGAAGTATTTCGCACGCTGCATGTAAATTAATAAGAGTTTTGTATTTCAATCTTTGAAAAAATGAAGCAAAACTCCAAATTATTATTTATTTTTAAATGAATAACAATTAAATACTTTTAAAATAATGATAGAATTTTACAATAACTTTAGTTATTATTTACAATATTAACATTAATCGTTATTATTGCTGTCAACAACAGCCACTTTGTTTCCATAGTAACAGTGAAAATTTGATTAGGAAAGACATTTTAAGCCAGCTCAACACTATTTTCTATAATAAATTAGGCATTTTACTTATTTATAATATTTTTAAGAGATAGATTTTGACGTTTGTAGAAAAAAATATTGTTTGCATCTCGTGCGCGAACTACTTTGGTGGTCTCGAATAATTTTTTAACTCGGCTTCGCCTCGTTAAAAAATTCAATTCTCGATCACCAAAGTAGCATTTCGCGCACTAGATACAAAAATAACTATTTTGATTTATTGCGATGGCATAAAGAGTATAAGCCACGGCCTGGAATTGACAGCAGTGTTGCCATACGTAATTACCCTATTTGTACGATATTTTTTCACAAGAATGATAAGAGGTTTTGAGACCATACTAAAGCATTCCAACTTTATTACAAATTATTTATAACCTTTAGTAAAAACTAAAACGGTATTCTAAAATAAAATGAGTGATACTTCTTAAGCAAAATAATGAATTATTTTCAAATGCTTATTAAATAAAAGCTTATTATTAACTAATAAGGTGTTCAAACACTTGTTTGAGCTTCACAATACCCTAATCTGTTCTGCACGACAATAACATTTAATAATATTAATTTTTTGTTCGACACTACACCATTTTTATTTTGTAATATTCCGTCTACCTATTACCAAAGGTTTGATTGGAATAATAATAAAAATAAAACTAAACAAGCAGCAAAGCGCTTTAGGTATTCGGTCGGTTCACAAACAATGCAACGGGACACGTGCGCTCCCACAGCCAACCAATTACGAGAGTCCGAGTCGCAGCCTCGATGATATATGTCATGTCCTTCCACCCGAAGTTGATAGGGGAGATGCGTGTAATTTACTTAGTCTATGCGAAAGAATTACCTGGCCAGACCTGTATATCATTTGGCAACTGCAATAATAGTACCTACGCCTTATCTTTCTACCATAATTTTACTATTGTACTGCTTCTACCGAATCACAGATATACATAATTCAATAAAATTGTTAATGCACTATTGACTATTGCAATGATTGTAGCTGTTGCTATGTTGGTAAAATTCTAATTGTTCCAATAGCCCAGTCGGGATGTCATTTAATCGGGAAAAAATTAGGGACCACAATTTTATTATTTTAACCTTTAGGGGGGGGGGTCAATAGAAGTGTAAATTCAGAATCGCGACTGAATTCCACCCCTGCATCAGCCGCCATCTTGAATTTAAGGAAAAATCGTTTTTGCTCAATATCTCGGCCATTTTCAACTTTACAACAAAAATGGTAAGGACTTTAGTTGTTGCAAATGCGATTTCCTACAACTTCCTTTATTACATTACTTAACCTTAAATGTTGGTAGTAGCGAAAAAATCAAAGAGATCAAAATTGTAGAAAATATAATTCTTTCCAACTTTGTTTATGTACATTTATGTCGTAAAGTCAATAACAAACGAGATAATTCAATAATTATACCTTGTCACTATTTTCCCCCTTAACTTGAAAAATATCGATCGCACGATAAAATTTGTAACTAAAGAAGTTGTAGGAAATCGCATTTTCAACAACTTAAGTCCTTACCATTTTTGCTGTAAAGTTGAAAATGGCCGAGATATTGAGCAAAAACGATTTTTCCTTAAATTCAAGATGGCTGCTGATGGCGGTGGAATTCAGTCGCGATTCTGAATTTACACTACTATTGACCCCACCTAAAGGTTAGAACAATAAAATTGTGGTCCCTAATTTTTTCCCGGTTAAGCCCTTTTTTTGTCTAACTCGACTGGACTACAACATTTAAAGTGATTCTGAAAAATCTGTTTTTTATAGTCATTGTGGTAGGTTACGTAATTAAGAATTAATGCTGGTAATAATTTTAAATTTGTATATACAGCCGCACATAGACAGTCACTGCGTTACACATTGTTCAATCATACATTTCTGGGATCAAAATCGGACGATCTAGATCAACTATCTAAATATGTGCAAAAGTCATCACCTATTGTGATAAAACCAGCTTAATGTGGTACCACGAAACAATATGTTTGAATATTACTCTAAAACTGTTTTAGACACAGACTTTTTATTTGGTATGTATCTTTGGTCATTTGAGTGCAATATAATTTCCAAATATGAAAGAAAATAACGGTAACACTTTTTGGGCTAATTTTTTTCAGTGTTTAGTGGGATAAATAAAACAGAACTCAATTTATTTGCTTAGTTTCCAAATGTCGAATTACTTATTTTCAAGTTTTATAGTCTGTCTTAATTTGGACATAATGATATATCATTAAGATTTTCTCTTTTCTGTGATATATCATGTAAATGAAAATATTGCCGACTAATACATCTTCGAAATAGGTGAAAGTAAATAAGAAGGAATTTGAATATAGAAGAGACGAAAACGTTAATCTTTATTTACGCTGTGTGTTGTGTGTGTAAATCTTTTTACGCATGAAAAATGTTGTACGTGTCAGTCTTGGCAAACATGGAGTAACAAGGGTTAAATCGTTTTCAGGGGAGAATAATGTCAAGATAGGTATTAACAAAATATGCATCAATGAACCTAGTAAATATGTATACATTTGGGTGGATTTAGAAAACCTGAGTTTGTCCCCCTTCTCATTTAAAAATACAGGTTATCCCAGTAACAATTTGGCAAACTAAAAAATATTTCGTTCATTTTACAATCAGGAAGAATCTACGTATGGCTAAATATATGTTACTAATTCAATTTGGGACACATACATAACATATATATTAGCACACAGAATTTAGAGAATGTCCTTAAAAACGTACTTAAAATATCTGTTCGGTCAGTGATGGAACCTTGTCTATGTGTACAGCTTGTAAATAAATTTTTCACAAAAATATAAAATATGGTAAGTTTCTAAGGCAATTTAAAATGGCAGAAATTCTGTAAAACTGATAAAAATTTAGTTAAAAAAATATAATGTTGCCTTCCATTTTGATCGGTTAATCATGATTACTATATGATTTACTAAGAGGAATTTATAAATAAAAATAAAAAAGTTTACATTTTTAAATTCACTTTTCAAATACCTAATATCTCGGAAAGGACAAAGGAGAGATACTTGAATGCCTCAATTCAACAAAAATATTTTAAATAATAATAGGAGGAATATTTACCCTGTAAACCGAATACCAAATATCATATGCAAAATGTCTGTACCATACAACTTGAAAAAGAAATGGAGACCTCATTTCGAATCGAATCTAGAAATACTTGAGGAAAATATAAACTACCTCATATAAAAGTTTTATATTTTCTTTTAAGTATTTATCAAACGATTGTAAGATTTTACAAAGTTGTACTGAAAGCGACAACAGCGCCAGACATTTAATACTTTTGCTAAGTTTTAATGAAAACAACTGCGAAATACGTAGTATCCGCTTATTTTAACTTTCACATGAAACTTACTTTTTAATTGCAAAACAATGATTTTCTTGTAGCTACATGGATTGATTAATTACGAGTATCTACTAATGGAATTAAGCAAACAGAAATATACAAAAGGTATATTTAATTTAGCGTTGTTTTGTAATTCTTGTGGAAATAAACATGTTTATTATTGGTTAAATTGGAATTTTCCGAAATTGAGTTTTGTTTCTGTGTACATACGGGATGGTCATGTGAAAATTGTGTACTCTCTAAATAAATTTATGAATCTTCTGTTACAGAAATACAGGCCTATAGTTTCTTTTTAATAAAACACCGTGTGTTTACACATTTGCGTAGAACGCTTTCACAAAGATTACATTGATGGGATTGATGAGCAACGAAGGAAAAGACGCGAGGGTCCTGTAAGCGAAAATTGTTCGAGAGGAACTGTTATTAGTTGCTGAGCAACCAAGTTTTTTTCACGGTACTTTTCTAAATTGTTTCAATACGACAGCATCAGCTTCCTGTGCTCCGGCTGCTTTGTCCCTTAGCAGCCAGTCTCAAACTGTCTTAAAACTATCCCTTCATGTTGTCACATAATTTCAGCGTGTCTAAAGTCACGAATCAGTTGGTCAAATATCTCTTGTAGCTTCAAATCAATCTCCATTTGCTGCAGAAACAACCGATATATTTTTCTTAAATATAATTAATTGTAAATTTACTATATCTAGAAGAGTAGTGCAGTAACAAGTATGCGCTAATAAATACGTGACTTTGCTTGTAACTTTGCGTAGAGCTAAAAATTGCTGAAACTAGGCAGGTTCATTTTTATTTACCACCAAATGTAGCACTGCCACTATATTCCTTCAACTTGGCAACAGATATTTGCATGAGCATTTCCTTCCGATTAATCTAAGCGAATAGCTATTATTGACCGTTCTTGGCACTGCCATCTAGGTCGGAGAGTAAGAACTGCTTATCTATTAAATGAAAATATACAATTGGGACAGCTGACGTTCAACAAACTGTTAACGTAGGGACTACCAAACTAGAGATGAATGATTGAAGTCAGTCTAGCGGATTAAAACAGGGCACAGCTTTTGATTTGAGAATTGATAAATCTCTGATAGTACTGAAATAGTAAATTATGTAGAATTGTTCTGTATGTGAAATTTCCGATGTCCGCGAATACGAATGTGAATAATTATATTTCAAGCAGATATTCGCGAAACTGAATGTTAAATAACAAGTAGGTAATTAGAATTAGGTAATAAAATAAATCCAGTAATTTAGAGGTAAAATAGAAGAATTTAGAGGTAAAATAGAAAATTTAGAGGTAAAATAGAAGATTTTAGAGGTAAAATAGAAGAATTTAGAAAGTAAAATAGAAGAATTTAGAGGTGAAATAGAAATGAATTTAGAGGTAAAACAGAAGAATTTAGAGGTAAAATAGTAGAAACTTAGAGATAAATCCAGAAATTTAGAGGTAAAATTAACAGATGGAAAATACAGGGAGTATTTTCTCCTTAGGTTATTGTAAAGAAGGAAAATGCGTATGAAGCTAATGTCTTCATCACTTAGTTTTTGAGATATAACTTGTTGAAGATTTTAAAAAGTACCTAAAACACCTTCCCAAGTAAATGTTTCTTAGGTTAAACAGTGTGAGAGCCACTAAAAACCTCAGAATTTAGATATTACTTAAGTATTTTTGAAATACGTTTAGTGCATTTGAGTCCTAATTGTATCTCAAAGAAAAATAGAAGGCCCGATGAATTTGATCCATTTGACCATGAATGATGTAGAAGGTAATGGTTTCATGGTTGTGTTTGTTCAAGATGAGAAAATTCACAATTACAATTACTGTATTTTTAAGCCACGCAGTATTTATCGTCAATATGTAAATTAGCCTGCGACTTGTAAATATGAACAGTAAAAAGCTGTTTATTGCTTGCCGTAATGGTAGATGTTATTCTTATAATGTAGGAACTCATACCTTTAGCTGAGTAATAAAACGTATAACTGAAATTTAAATTTAGAAAGTTCCGAGAATTTAGAGAATTCGGATCTTCAGCCTCCATTATAAAGTAAAAACAAAAAATACATGTTAAAATTATTATATGTATAATTAGTTCTCAAATTAGTACGCGCATAATTAATTGTATGGCAGGATTTATGAACCAACGGGAAAATACGAAATTTTTTTAATGTCTCAAAAGCGACAAATATTATACGGAAAATATAAAGATGTTTATAAATAAAAACACTGATATATTTATAATGAAATAATTCAAAAAGGGACAAATCGATATAAAGTAAAACTTTGAATACTTAATTAAAATTAATATTATGGAATTAATAAAAGTTTTCTTTAAAATAAGGTAATAAAAATATATGTTTGTTATTTACATCAGAAGTAGGTTTTCGGCGTTATCAATAATGTAAACAAGACATAACATTGGTAATGAAAAAACTCATAGGAAGATAGAGTATGAACAAGTCAGGTATAATATTAGAGGATCACCTTCACATCAGTAACTAGACCAACTAAAATATTGTCCAATCCTTTGTTGTTAATTTGTCTCATATATTATATTTTAATGAATTGACTATAAATGTTTAAACATTAATATCAGTTTTTATATGAACATTTTTTGTCTGTTCTGCATAACATTTGTAACATTTTTGTTTTTATTGAGATTCCAGAAGATAGAGATATGGTATCTATATAAAGAGATGAAACATCGACATTAAAAAAATTTGTTTTCATTTGGCCAGATATCCGACTACTAATGTTAAACGTAATTGTTGTCGATTTTATATTTACATAAAAAGTAATATATAACATTTTTGTTACTATACACCTCACAATATTGTACAATAATGATTATTTCTGTTGATCAGGTTTGAAAAATGGGTACTCTGAAAATGTTGCCATTTTGGGCGTTAGCGTTTATGCTGCTCTTACATGCCTCAGAAGCAGCGTATAAAGTTGGCGTCGGTAGAGCAGACTGCACTGGACCTACAGCAGAAATCGTATTTGTAAGTACACTTACTTTCAGTTATACAATTTTTTTTAATACAGGGAGTTATGGAAAAAAAATTAACCTAATGACCGTTTTCTAGATGGGATACGCGAAATCAGGCCAAAAGGGATGCGGCTTACACTTGAGGCAGTTTTCCAGGGCGTATATCATCGACGACGGCTCCAAAAGGGCGGCCTTTGTCTCGGTAGACGCCGCCATGATGGGTCTTGGTGTACGAAAAGAGGTAAGTTGTAACGGTTAAAGCCATGAGTTAAAACTATAAGACTACCTTTCATGCTTATATTTTTTAGAAATTTCAAACAATGAACATTGTAAAAAATATGAAGTCGTCTCATTAAGAATGGGACACACAAATGTTGCTTTTTTATCCACAGGACTTTAAAACGTCAAACTATGGCAATATTTAGAGAACAACTAAGTTAGGAATTTAAAAAATAGTCATTTTGAGGTCATTATATCAAATCGTTGTTTAAAGTTTCATGTTTTATCAATTTCAACACAAAATCGTGGAAATAAAGACCATTTTTTGTTTCATAATTTGGTTTGCAGGATTTCAGCGTCAACGGCTGACAATCTTTGGATTAGTTGCCACATCGTCGGTTTATCCTTTTTCTCTTCTTCAGAAGAAACTATGAAACTGAAGATTAAAGCCTCTAGTCTATGTCGTTCTGGTGATTAGCTTGAAGTCAGTGGTTTCTGACGCTCCAGTCCTTGATTTTCAGATTGGTTCTTCTGTCATGCTTCTTTGTAGATCCTTGGTCACAACCTTTTCCTATATCTGGCCTGTATTCCGTAACTACTGCTTTAGGTGGTACCTACGTTCCTTTGACTCCATGTTTGTCCAATGTACACTTTGGAGTTGCACACTAGAATATAGTGTTTACTGCAAGGTAATTTACGTGAATAGGTACGTTAAAGATGAGTTTCACCGCCATCAGGCCGAGAAACAAGGGATCATCATATACAATCAGATCTTAAAGGCTTAAATGAATGTCTCTATTAGCAGCCTGGGATCAACCTATCTTCTCTATAAACTATTTTATTGATTGAAAGAATAAAAGGCTTAAGCCAAATGTACTCGACCAGTTATCCATCAATGAAACAAACTAAATATTTTTTTGAAATAGACACCACAAAAGACATTACTGTATTTATATTCGCTATGTACACTGTTCCATGGCGGTTGACCCTTACTTACGAGTAATTTCTAAATTCCCAATAGTTGTAGGTCTCCGTCTTGATTGATATTGTCTTGATTTTTCTGGATTTTTGTTGCATCTGTGTAGCCTCAGCCAAAATATTCTCTCTGTCAGAATTCTACTAGGTATTTTTGAATTCTATATCATGTCAGATATGTCTTTCGAAATGACAAGGAGTCTAAACCGATGACGTGGCAACCAGTCCGTATATTGTTCAATCACTGACGACGAAAGTCTGCAAACCAAGATTGGTTGAATATTTCTTGAATAATGGAAAAATTGACTAATTTTTTTAGGCTTTAACGCTTGCAAGTTGAAAAAGTATAACATTTGATTAAGGTAGGCTTGACTCAATCGCCCCACTCTGAGCTCCAGAATCTCCCATTAACTTCTTTGTTTAATGAAACACACTGTACATTTGATACATTGTGAGATTTGACTTGCATATATAATTTAGAGAAATTATCCCGGCGGCAATATAATAATCAAAAAGCTTTTGACAATGTAACTTCATCACAGCGTAAATTTTTTTTTAGGCATTTTGGGGACTGTTCAAAGGGATATTATCCCTTAAAATGGCAATTTCTATTTTCTGCTTCAATCTTGACACCGTGTTTTAGAATATCATATACCCCGTATACCAAGTTAATCAAATATTATAATGAAATTAATATTTCACATACTTTACTTCAAACAGTCAAAGCAGACAATTATTATTTATCGCGTGTTGTATATCAAGGTCGACAGTGGCATACATTCTTTTTATAAAGATCTTACATAATAAACTTTCTCCTCAATAATACTCCCAATCAAAGTAGTAAAAATATGTTTCGTAACACCCACCGTCCGAGTCTGAAATTGTGCAACATTACAATATGTTGCGGGCAAAATATGATCAATCGATCTCAACTGCTCTTCAGAATGTACATTTTCCCCCATAACTCAATAAAACGAATAAATTTCGAAGAATAAAATAATTGTAACGTAAGAGTATGCCAAAGTATCGTAAAATTTAAAATCATATCCCAGAATTTATCACGAAAGTGTATAATAAAACTAATTTTAATAAAAAGATGTTTAAATCAAGTTCATATTAATCGTTTGGAAGTAGCTACGCATAAAAAATCTGAATATTTTAATATAAAACAGTACAATCACCGTCTTTAAGCATCGTTCTTATGTAACTTCAGAAAATGTTCCCTCGAGATATTTTCTAAAGCAAAACATCCCATTCATATATAAGTAGAGGAAATTTACCTGCAGATACTTTCCCAAGATATCCACATTTAAAAAAATGTAAACGAAATTTCAGAGGTAAGTATGTTCGGAAAAATAAAATGTGTAGATATCAAAAACTGTATGGATTTGTTGGTTGCAAATATCTATCATATGTTGCGTTTTAGAAATACAAGGAAGAACCAAATATTAACAAATTTTTTTCTTTTCAAAATATCGAAGTAAAATAAAAATATAAAACTATTTATATTATACCACATATTTGCTAGTTTTCTAAATAATTTCAATACAACATGTGAACGATGAAAGAACGATTTTCCTGACCAAAAAGAATAAACATGGTGATTCAGATATAAAAAAATGGATGTAGAAGGGACTCTTTCAAATACATTTTTGTAAAGAAAAAATTAAAAAGTGCAATTCGAAAATTATTTAAAAATACACTCTTGCACGGCACAAACTTTCGCAAGGAAACAAATAAATAGAATTTTATTGCACCTATTTTATATCAGCAAATTCAACTGCTTTTGCCGTTATTGTTATTATTAATTAATAAAATGTGTGTTTTTAAATAATAAAATAATTTGACATATCCGATGTTACAACTATTCAAAATTGCTGCCTTGCTTCACCATAAATTAAAAGGATATCCATCAACTCCGAGTTGCTATACACGCAAACCATTTTTGACACTAACTACTAAAAAACTATTGTAAACACCACAGATAACAGGTAAACACTATCGCAACGACGATTGTAAAATCGGATTTCAATATTCGGAGTCGCTGAGGCCACGTGACTCTTCACGCGTATTGCGAATGACGTTAGAGACTACAGTTGTCCAGCTGTGTAATGGTTGAATGTACTACAACTTCAATAATTTTTTTCTCGGAAACAATAAGGATTTTACAATTTTTTTACGATATTGACTGCACTTCTCATGCCAAATTTATTCCCAAATTTTTTTGGATAAGTTGTGAATCACCCTGTATATTTATATTAAACATTTTTGCTCCTTAAGTCTCCAATTTATGATATGCAGCGTGAAGTTTATAAAAAATATCTCTAATAAAGATATATTCTGAATGAATGATAATATTGAAACACAATTGTGTTGCAAGGTATATGAATGTAATAGCATTCAATGTGAAAAAATTAAGTCTGCTCAATCCATCGGTTTATATGTGTCACTATGAAAAAAATATACAGAATGTCGTTATCATGGATAAAATGAACACCACATCACTGATATATAAATGAATTTATTCATGTATTTATACACTGACAAATGACAATCGTCAGTTTTACCGAAAATTAAGAATCGCCTTGTAACCCGAAAACGATAAAATGTTAATAACCGAAAACGCTACAGCCACACCAACCGCAAACCCTACCAAAGCAGTTAGAAATTTCCCTTTTTTCCCTTTGAATTCCATATATTTGCCGCTTCAATTTGATACAGAAAGACGCAAGTGACACAAAAATCACTCCAGTCGAACCACCCCTGCGCCCAGCGGTCGCGATTGAACATTTCTTACACATTGAAAGTTTATACTGTTAGAATCTACATACTATCCTAACATCTAACATGATACTACCGAATATCTCGAATATTTGCAAAGTTAAAATTGTTTTCTACAATTTCTATACAATGATAGGTCCAATGATAAAAACACGAGTGGTCTTTTAATATTCTTAGACAGCTTTTACTGTTTTGGTATAAATTATTATTATCAATTATCATCAAGTTATGTATGGTTAAATATAAAATTATACCTACACAACTTATCAAAAATAAATTTACTTTTCCAAGTTTAAGAATGTTGTGTAAACATTCGCCCTTGCAACTGTCATTTTTGAGATACAGTGTGTTAAATTAAAAAAAGGTATCAGAGATTCATAAAGAAGTAAGAGGATGTGTAAGGAGTGTGTCGAAAGATATATTGAGTTTGAGATTGAGGTATAGGGACCCCATTTTGAACACATTTTATAATGGACCACAATTAAGTGCATATTTATTGAAACAGTTCTAATCATTGTTATTCTTTTAGGTACTTAAAAACCTAGCCGAACTTTATGACGACACGTATAACGAAAACAACGTAATTATAAGTGGAACTCACACCCACGGAGCACCTGGTGGTTTCTTGATGGACGTCATGTTGGACATCTCCGTCCTCGGGTTCGTTCAGCAAACCTTCGACGCCCTAGTCAGCGGTATCACAAAGGTAACTTATATTATTTTATCTAATATACACTATTTCCTAAGGATATACCAACACGTAAAGGAGGATACTGACGGCGGGTGCAACTTTGTAAAAACTATATAAAATTATGGGGAAATAAGTTAAACAACTGTTTCGATATTTTTGTTCTGTTTGTGTTACCACTGTTATAGGAAAAAAACTAAAGTTCTACACTTATGTTAAAGTCATGGTTGTGACTTATTTTGACTTGATTTATCTTGTTCTCAAAGTTCCTAAATTTTCAGAAATTCTGTATATGGTTGCAATATTCTCGGAAATGTTCTCATAATTTATAGAATATTCTAAAAAATGTTCAACTATTAGGAAAAAAATGTCTTACGTCTGTATTAAAGTTATAATTTCAGTTTCTATAACGGTTCTCGAAATATGACTAAAACTGGGCATATTTTTTAACTTCAGCGTCTTACATTTTGGTATTAAATAAGTATTTATGGAAAAATGATTACTTCAATTTCCGATAAAGAATCTAGACGAGAAATTTAGCCTATTATTTAGCATACATCCTGTATACAGAAAACTTATAGAATCCCTGATGTATTTTTCCTTCAGATAAATGGACTGAAGAACTGTATGCAAATGTTGTACATTCCTCGCTATGCAAATGCTAAACAACCATTCTGTAGGCATAAAAACAGATCCATAAATTCAAACCGACTACAGGATTTAACGGCCATGGAAAATTTATGCTTTACACGTGTTCGCGGGACATATGAGAGGTTTGGGACATATGGGAAAAGTTTTAATGCAGAGATTTAAAAGGACATTGAGCTTCTTGGCTGCAAGCTTTAAAGGCTCATGCCTTCAAGTCTCCTAATCATCCGAGATCTCAGAATATTTTTTTGATATTCTTTTATCTTTTCGCCTTCGCCACCCGATAATGCTTGCCTCAAGTGTCTTCCTTGAAACATTCTATAAACACATCCTAACCATCTTGCTCTTCGCGTTTATTATAATGAGTAATAGTTGCGTTATTATATTTACCTGCTACGTTTGATTTTTTCTTCTACATTTTAGTCTCTGAATCGTTAAAAGTTTATCTGAAAATTTTCCTCCAACCATATGATAATATTGAAACTTTTTACCATATTTTTATTCGCGGTCCAGGATTCATACTGAGAAAGGACGCTTTAATAACTATTTGATAATCATCTAGAAGTAATATGCTTTTATAAAAATTTTCGACATCGAGTTTTTCAATTGAAGTCACATTTACCTAAGCATATTTTGTTTTATCCAAATTTACATTCAATCCAAAACTTTTGACGTTTTTCAAAATATTTCAATTCGTGCTTGGTCTCGCCATTATCTTCTGTATATTCTATTACTTAATGGTTGCAATAGAGTAAAATAACTTTGATTTTATTTCCATTCACTATTGTCTCTAAAATCATCCAATTACGTCTGATCTCTTATTGTTAACTTTCAGTTATCAACTTAAGATTTCGCAAGACGTCATACACCCTCTTCCTATCCTACCTTATCCTATCCTATCCTATCCTATCCTATCCTATCCTATCCTATCCTATCCTATCCTATCCTATCCTATCCTATCCTATCCTATCCTATCCTATCAAATAACTAGTTATAAGTAACTATTATCCTGTATATGTATGTTAGACGGAAAGTTTGATCGATGGTTGAAAAGTCTTCCTGAAGTACTATGATATTCATGAAAACAAACTATCTCTGATGGTCAAATCTTATACATCTTCTACGTCTTCTGTGTTGGTCGTTGGCCTCTTTGATCTTCTTTCTCCAATCATCTCGGTCTTGTGATGCACTGTTCCAACTCTTGTCTTCGGTATTTGAGTTATCCTATCCTACCTTAAGTTTTCCACTATTTTTTTCTACCCGATTTTGCTTGCATGAAATTTTTTTGGTATTATTAGTTTGGCATTCTTTGGATACATTGTTTATCTTAGCAGCATGAGTAGTAGAAGTTGTGAGACTGTAGATTATTGAAAAAGAACTCTATAGTGTGTCACGTACTTCCCAGTTTTTAACAGTGCCCAGGTCTCGCCTTAATACGTCGATACAATACAAATTATGTATCTAATAAATTTTTATTTTATTCGTTTGATGAAAGTCTTTTGATTAAAATACAGGAATCATTGAATAATGGTTCTGTCTGACGTAATTATCTTTTTCTTGATTTCAGTGATATGGTGATACTCTGATCGAATGTATTAGTTCTTTGTTGATCCATGATTTTTGTGTGTTTTTTTAGGCCCTATGGAACCTGTTCCTTTTAAGTAGCCAAAATTCTCATATATTGCTAATACATCTCTAACTAATATGTGTAACTTATCTGCATAAGTTGATGGGACTATAGTAGGATCATATTCGATGCAAAGTAATAAATCATTGCCTGTCAAGGGAACCAATGAAGTACGCTTTTAAGGGTTTTACAAATTGATTAATTTCTTTATACGTTATGAAAGGATGAGAGGATCAGTTCAAGTCTGTCACCCTTGTTCCTACAAAAATTCCTTTATTCTCATAAACTATTTATTTTAAATGTAATTTATTATAAATCCAATTTGTTTCCTAAATTCCACATATTTACCACATTTTATCTCTGTACGCGTCACTGTTGTTTACTTGTTTTTTGGAAGCGCTCTCTAATTGACGGCAAAGCTCGCCAGGTTAGTATTTGATGTATAACCGACCAGTTCGTACACTCGATGCACCTGGGCGACTACAGTTAGTATCAGAACACAGTGCGTATGCAGCGGTATTTCAGATTTTACATTGAATTTCATTTTAAATTTGAAATGATTTATCTTACGCCTCCTAAAAATGATGACACGATTTTCCTTTGATAAAAGACCGACAACTTTTTGCTCTACTTTGCATAGAATACGATCCTACTATAGTATTCAAAATCATAGTTCCAACAGAAAACTAGAACCAGATTGAATAAAGCAAACGTTATTCCAGCTTTTGGTTTTTTAATCAATGTGACTAATAGACCTATTCTTTTTTAATTACTACATTCAATTTCTCACGGACTTTTTTAATCTTATCTCCATTCCACACCTTTGCAATCATACATATGTATCATACGTTATATTTTTGAAATATTCAAAAATATATTTCTGATGGCATAAATTTCACAAATACTTCATGATGTCAATTACAAACTCGTTTGTATTAAAAAACTTTAATAGATTTCGACTTTTTTGGTTGCAGTCCATCGCAAGAGCTCATGAAAATATGGTAGACGCAAGAATATTTATAAACTCTGGCGAACTGTTAGAAGCTAATATTAATAGAAGTCCGCAATCCTACTTGAAAAACCCAAAAGAAGAACGTGCCAAGTAAGTATTTTACGTACCAATTCTATATCTACAGGGTAGGAAAGTACCGATGGTCTATCTGAAGTTACGTGAGAGCGATAAAGTAAGCCATAGAAATCCATGCGATAGAGAAGGATGGCTATAATGAAGGTCTCTCATAGTCACCGCCCGTTTCGCCCTTCCACAAATAAGATCCACTTCTTATTTGTGGAAGGGCGAAATGGGCGTTGACTATTAGACGCCTTCATTATAGCCATCCTTGTCTATCACATGGATTTCTATGGCTTACTTTATCGCTCTCACGTAACTTCTGATAGACCATCGGTACTTTCCTACACTGTATATTCTCTTTCCGTTCATTTAACCATCTTTCTATTTGTATAATGGCAAAGATACCACTACAAATGTATACATGACGCAGACTACCTTTTCTCTAAATTAAAAATTGACGTTTCCTCCATTGTACATAATCATATTTTCTTCTAGTTACGACTATAACGTAGACAAAGACCTGGTACAGATGAAATTCGTAAGGACGGAAGACGATGTGCCCATCGGTGCCATAAACTGGTTCGCCGTTCACCCGACGTCGATGAACAACAGCAACTGTTTGGTAACGTCGGACAACGTCGGATATGCCTCAATTTTGCTGGAGAAGAGTGTCAATCCGGACGCACTAATTGGCAAAGTAAGTTCCAATATAGATCATTTATGATTTAATTTTATAAATTCCTGTAGTTACAGAAATATAAGTTTATATTTTTAAGAACACGAAATGATTCATACTTAATAGTGTTTAGACGCTGTTCTGAAATATCTATCTGATATACATACACATGCGGTGTTACCATCGAATATATGTGTAATGTTTTGTCTCTGAATATGTTTTTGAACAATGAAAATTAATACAAATTGTACATTTCGCTATGAACTACTTTCACTTGATTTTAAACATTTCTATTCGAAACAACCTTACGACATACTAGACTATGGATATTATGTTATAGAAAACTTCTTATTTGAGTGCCGCTCTCGGTCTCCCTATTATTAAATAAGGAATAGAGTGGTGTGAGAATTTAGTTCAACTTCCTACTAACAGATGGCACAAATAAAGTATAGTCTAGTACTAGTAGGTACCTACGTCACCACTATCCGGCAAATTTATCAAAGAGCAATAAATAAGTAATTAACAAAGATAATTAAATAAATAGTGACCACCTTGTATAGTATGTAATATACAGGGTGGTCCGAATTTTATGCAGGAAACTTCGAGGCAGATAGATCTCTTTAAAATAATATGTGTTTGCTTTATAAACATTGGTCTGGAACAGCCCCGTTTTAGAGATACAGGGTGTTGAAGTTGTTAAAAGATATTGATTTTTTGTTTATATCTCCGGAATCTATTAACCGATCTCAATAAAATTTGGTACAGATAATGTATGATAGTAGACCTTACATTCCTTAAAATATGAGCTTTAAAAGTTTAACCAGTGGTGTACAATTGAACAACGGTCACCTCTTTTTTTACAAGAAAAATCTACGCCACTGCATTTTTTACAAGTCATTGTAACTGATTTATTATATTTTAATGCACAAAATACGTAAAAAAGGCGACTTTAATTTTTTCCCTAAGATTCGCCGTTCTCAAGTTATTTATACCAATACACTCCCCTTGTGGCAGACACTTGTAACCATATTACAAAAATATGTATGTTTATGCTTACAAGTAAGTGCAATTTGTAAGCAGATGAACAAACTTATTTGCATTCCTTTCTACACCACCTGTGAGGTAGTGTTCCTGGCGTGTTTTAGTTTTCCCTGGAGGCCTAATACTCTTTACAAATAAGAAAAATTTATATCAAAATAATAATAAAATTATATTTACCAAGCAACAGCAACTAAACAAGAAACTAAATTAACGTTACGTATTTACAACTATAATTGATGCGAACCACCCACATTGATACATTTCTGACATCTTCTATTAATGGAATTAATTGAAGCTAATAACACCCGTCTTCTATTCGTTGCAGTAGTTGTGGTCTTGTATCTGTACTTTTCAGATAACCACAAACATGTCCAAGAGCAATAGATATGGCAATCTGGCTGGCCAAGACACTGGATTCTCTGCATCATTATGGTTGACATTGGCATTTGGTCTTCATATAATTTTCATTAAGCCATTCTTATATTATTCTTCCAGAATGCGCAGGAGCACCATCAATTGTATCCAGCTATTTTGTCGTATATTTAATGGATCATCCTCTAATAATTCAAGTAGATGATTTAGAAATGACTGGGAAATTAGACGGGGTGGTAAGAAGAAAGGTCCACAAACTTTATTGCGAATTATTCCGAGCCACATGTTCACAGAAAATTCGTGTTGAAAAGATCTTGTCCGAATTTCATGAGGATTTTCTCGTGATCAAACATGCGGATTGTGAAAATTCACTACCCCTCGCCTTTGGTAAATGTACATCTATTATTATTTTGATTTAAGTTGTTCTTATTTGTAAAGATAGTGGGTTAGGCTTCCAGGGGAAACTAAAACGCGTAAGGAACTCTACCTCGCAGGTGGTGCCGAAACGTAAAGAATTTTATTCCACTTACTTTTAAGCATAAACATAAATATTCTTGTAATATTATGGTTAGAAATGTCTGCACAAGGGGATTGTATTGGTATTGGTATGCATAACTTGAAAACGGCAAATCTTGGGGAAAAATTCAAGTTACCTTTTTTACGTATTTTGTGCATTAGAATATAAATCCGTTACAATAACTGTAAAAAATGTAGTGGCGTAGGTTTTTTTATAAAAAAGGATATGACCCCTGCCCAGTTGTACACCACTGGTTGTACCTTTAGAGCTCATATTTTAGGGAATGCAAGCCCTACCACCATAGATTATCTACACCAAATTTTATTGAGATCAATTAGTAGATTCCTGAGATATAAACAAAAAATCATTTATTTTTTAACAACTTCAACACTCTAAAACAGGGCCGTTCCAGACTTATGTTTATAAGGCAAACACATATTAATTTAAGGAGATTCGATACCAAAAGAAAAATGGTAAAAATGTTTTCAAAGCAATTGAAATCTGTTAATAAATATGCAAACTGACTTGTGTAAAAATATCAGATCGATTGACAACGTAGTTTTTTTGAAAAATGAATTTAAAAATTATGCTCTTTTACACAGGCTCTTATGGGAGTTGAGAAAAAACTTTAATCAAACGTGAATATTGCTCTTAAAAATGGTTAGGATCGGGAAAATAAAATTGTAATTAAAGAATTAAATATTACTAAACACTTTAAAACAATAAAAATATGCACTTACAATGTAATTATTGAGATAATGGAATGAATAGATAACGTTTTGACAAATTTGAACAAACATCTGATTCAATGAAAGGAAATATGGCAACACTGTACGCTGTATTTAATGCTTGGACTGATGTGTTATATTTGAATAGCTCAATTATAGATTATAAAATTATTCCAGTCGAAAATATATGTAGTAATAATTAATATTAAATAAATTTTTCGTGATTTAAAGCAATATACTAACAATTTGAAACAAAAATTGAAAGGATCTCTTTGCAAAACGAACAGTTTAGTTGTTATGTCATAATCTTCAGTTTGACAAGTCGACGTCTCACTAACATACATTGAACTTCTTGATAGTTATCATATAGACTCTCGGTTTGCACATTTTATTTTTTTCTCATCAATTCACATTCTGTTTTACACTCATTTTATACTTTTCAGTCATTACTTTTCCTTTGTACTTTGGTTGTTCATTCATGTTTACGGAATTCGCGCAAAGTTGACAGTAATGACAGTTGACCCAACTTTTACCACCACGCCATGGCAATGTTGCCAGATTTCATCCATAATTTTACAAGTTCTTAATGAATAAATGGACACGTTTATTCAAATAAAAAGTGAACTGACGTGTATTAAACACGAAAAAAATATGCAAGCTAATATGTGTTGTATAAATTTCATTCTAAATAGCATACTTAGTTCGCTGAAATTAATTTATGTAAGGTTGGTACTGCAACAAGACTCCCGTGTATAAACATAGGCATACTCTCCGCACCGCCCGCCCTGTAAGAGGTGTATCGAACGTCCTTAAAGAGATCTATCTGCCCTCGAAGTTTCCTGCATAAAATTCTGACCACCCTGTATAGGTTGACATATTAATTAACTAAATAACAAATGAACGCTAAATCTATCCTCGAGCCAAACACATCCTAACTTCTACACGAAACTGGCCCATTCATCGTTAGACAATATCCGCATGTTAATGGAATTCCCAGAATCCCAGTCCCCTCCGATACCTACATACTTTAACGGCTCGACCGAAAATAGTTGCAGGCGTTAATTAAATGTGTTCTTAAACTGGACGTCCATCCAATAAACGTGTACCTAATCAGGGAGTCCAGCTGATGTAAATGTTAATTTTTCACAATTTCTCTCTCTAGAGAGAAAACCAATGGTGAAAACACATTACAAATCCCTTGGCGCTTGCTGTTTGCTGATAATAATTATTAATTCACTCCAATCGGCTTATAAATCCCCTTTTCCATGCTTCTGTCGATGCTACTGGAATAAAGTTAATTATCACTGACCTAATTAGATTTTCTAATACTTCTCTGGCAGTTTTGAAACAAACTGTTGTATTCGTAATATAAAGGGTGTTTCCTGAATTCGGGAGATTATTCTTTGTATTATTTTTGAAAAAAAAAGCATTACAAGAATAAGGGTTTAAAAGGTAGTGTTTATCGTGATGCTGTGTTGAACTGTGGAAACAGTTATCTTTGAAGATGACTTAAATTGATTAAACCTGGTGTAATAATTTAATAAAAGGCAACAATTTAGTAAACTGATAAACAAATCAGTCAACCAGAGGTGAAGCCATTGTCACACTATATTAAATTATTTTCTTGTTTGGGATAAGCTTTCCCCGAGACCATTCTCCAGCCCCAAAAAGCTGATTACAATAGTTTTGTTCAGTTACAATTTGCTGATTTACATAACCTCGCAATTAAAAAAAAAAACAGAGATTTGAAATTCTTACTAGGAAGGGTGGAAAAATTTAGGGACAAAGTATTGAAAAATTATAATTGGATAGTTTTATTTTAAGTACTACAGAAATATAGGGAAAATGTGTTCAACATTATTTTTTATAGTGAAAGTGCATTCTTCTGCTTTTGTCCGAAATAAACTTTCCAATAAAAGTTTTGGTTTTTCTAGCACCATTGATTTTTCAATAGATAGCTTTACTGTTAGTCTGTCTTTACAATCAATTTAAACTTTTACAGTCTTTTAAAAAACACAGAAGAAGCAATACGTAAGTAACGAAATTTTAAACCACTCCTGAACAAATTACGTTTAATAAGAAAAAAAACGTGAATAGCTACTATTTGGTTAAGGTCGGACTAAACGGAACCCAATCTGCATAGTAAATGTGCGCTACTCCCACCCTGTCTTTCGCTGCTGCGCGACGATAGCCATGACCACCGCTGTAAACACTTTACAGATGTAGACGATAGATCGAACTTAACAAGAAATTATAAGGAAAAGACTAGACACAAATTTTAGAATATGTACATACCTTTTCTGTGGAAAATTAAGCGTTTATTAACAATTGTTTATACAGGATGTTCCACCTAAGAGGGATTC